AATCTCAGCACTTTGGGAGGCTGAGGCAGGAGGATCACCTGAGGTCAGGAGTTCAAGACCAGCCTGGCCAACATGGTGAAACCCCCTTCTCTACTAAAAATACAAAAATTAGCCAGGCGTGGCGGTGGCACCTGTAATCCCAGCTACACTGGAGGCTGAGGCTGGAGAATGTCTTGAACATGGGAGGCGGAGGTTGCAGTGAGCTGAGATCGCACCACTGAACTCCAGCCTGGCTGACAGAGCAAGACTGTGAAAAAAAAAAAAATCTAGGAAACCAAGGGAGAATGGTGTCATAAGACCTCCAGGTAAAATAGTCAACATCATCAAATACTACATAGGGATGTAGCATGAAAACCAAGAAAATAAAGGAGACCTTTAGAGACTGGGTAAGGAAAGGCATTCATGACCAAATCAGATTTAAGAGGCTCGGGAATGATGGTGGATTGAAAACAGACAAGTAAGTAATTAAAAGGAGTGGGAATGTCTAGAAAACAGTTTTTTTTTTTTTTTTTTTTTTTCAAATGGGAAACTTGTTTGTTATTGATAATAATATGGAAGATATTGTTTGGCAGATTTTGGATACATCAAAGGCAAAGAGTATGTTGCCGCCTGTCAAGTTTCTCATCTACATCAGCCCTACATCTCTAGTCTCATCTAAATCAGCCCATTGTCTGCATCAGTGCTGAATAGATCAGTCCCCTGCTTAAAGACCTCTCTGGGTTCCTTGTTGCAGGAAGAAATACAGTATTCTTAGCATAGCAGACAAGTTGCTTTGTATTCTGGTTCTAAACTCTCTGTCATATTTCATCTTCTACCACTTGGGGCACAGGAGATTTCAGATTCTTTCCAAGTTAGATCTTTGTACATATTGCCCTTTCTACCTGGAAGAGCCTTCCTCTCATCTTTCACATGTCTAATTCTAACTTGTCTTTCAACACTCAGCTAAAACACTCAGCTCAAAAAAGTCACCTAACATGGGTGACTTTTTGGAAGGAGGAATATTGGAGACACTATGTTTTTAACCAGATATTGCTATAGCCTGAGTGTGCAGAATCAAGAGCCAAGACTGCGATAATTACAGTGTGAATGGAACTATTTGTTTTTGAACCCTTTCATGCCTCTGTGGGTCCAGTGCAAGTATCCCTTTTTGATGCTTCACCCATAAGTTGTTTCTTCATATCTTTGCCTCAGCATCCTGCATTGTAATACGTCTATTTTCATAGCTGTGTTCTCCATTAGACTACATGAACTCTTAACACAGGGACTGTATTTTTTATTGCAATCTCCATGGCAGAGGCAAAACAAACTCTTGCTAAAAGCATCAGGAATGAATGTGGATTAATATAATAATATATACTGAGGTATATAAGATAGAAGTCAAGAAGCATATTATAAGTGCAAAAAAATGAACAATTTCACCTCTGCTCCTTAATTTTTTAGCTGTGACCATATATAATGCATAAAATATGTGAAGCTATGCATTCCAAATGTGTTCTGCTACAGTCATTATGTGTTAGAACGTGGTTTTGGAGTTAAGCAGTCTCAGCTTTAAACATGACTTCTGACTCTAAAAGCTGTATGAATTTGAGCAAGTTAATTTCTCTGAACCTGAGTTTTCCTATTGGTCAAATGAGGATAATACTGTACAGTGTGGTTGTGAAGGTAAAATTGACAAAATATAGATTAAACAATTTAATGACCAGCATTTAGTCATCATTAACATCACAATTATTTCCAACTCTCACCTTCATGGCTGATATTTCTTATTAATTTCTCTCTGGTCTTGTATTTGGCTCATTTGCAACTTTTATTCATTTTATAAGGAGAAGAATGTTTCAAAGTAGAATTTTGATGTTAGGAAATTTAACATCAGCTGTACTTCACCTACATAAATGACGCCATTTGATTCATAATACTCACTGCCAGCATTAAGTGAATTTACAAAAATCTGGAATGAAATATAGGTGTTGATACAGTAAGTTGCCAATTAAATTTGAATTGTTCGTAAGTCTCCAAATAATTTCCCAGTGAAAGTCCTAGCTTCACTTGCTAAGCCGGATCTGAGGACACCTTTTTTGTCTTATCTTCTGGAATCTATTGCCCTCAGTTATTTAGATAACTTAGATATTAGCTCTTTTTATTTTTTTTAGCAGAATTTTTGTGGTTAATAAAAACATGTGTTTACAGCTTTTTGCATAGATAAAGGAAAGGATTCCACATCTAATTTAGATCAAGAGATAAATTTTTAGAAAAAATGATGGATATGTCCTCTGAGAGCAGTGGAATGCAATGATGTTCTGTCTTTTTCTGATTGAGTTCCTGGCATTTCAGAACCCTTCCACACCCACACCCACGCAAAGACACAGTGGTCACAACTACAGCTCCTGCAGTCTCATTTCCAGAGCACATCCATTGTTTTCCATATCATCTAATAAATCCGTTTCTTTAGCCTAGTGGTGAAAAGCTTATATAAATATTAAAACTTCAACTATTCCCTTGAGTTTTCTGTTGGCTAACCTGCAGCCATGGGCTGGTTTGGATAGTGACATGCATTTGCTATGTAGATCATTCATGCCACTTTTGTGAGTCCAGTGGTGATAAATTCAGTTGTCTTGAAAATTTATCAGGCTGTTTTAACACCCCGTTTATGAAAACTTAAATAATTGACACCCTCATTGAAAAGGTTCTAGGTTCAAAGTATCTTTCTTATTCTTTCAGCATATATCATTCTGATGATATATATCTATATATATTTTAGGAAGTCTTGGCCAGGAGATGATTGGAACAGTCATTGGAAAGAAAGCAAGAATGTGAAGAACTGATTGGAGCCAAAACGTTTAACCTTGCATTGTTATTCCTAGAACAGATTTTTTTTAAAACTATATTTAGAAGTGAAGTATTTTACTGTTTATTAAATAGGGGTAGTTAACATTACTGGGGTGAAATTAAAATGTATAATAAAAAATCCTTATCCATCGAATAGGAGAGAAAATGGAAGGCATATATTTAAAAACAAAATCAATACTTGGTGTATAGTGGGCAACAGTAAATGAATGTGGGATAGGATTGATTAGATTCCTAGTGAAATGTAATACTACCTTTATAAAATATTTATTATATCCTTAAGTAAAAACTTATATGATTGACCATCATTGTTAATATAGTAGCCTTATTTTGGAAAATACATGTATTCCATTTTTTCTTTTTATTACTCATTTTTCATTTATTCTCTTAGATAGCAATCAATGAAGTGTCCTCCAGTACTATTCTGTCTTTTCGTTTTTTCTTTTTTTGTTTTTTGTGTTTTTTTTTTTTTTTTTGACAGAGTTTCCTTCTTGTTGCCAGGCTGGAGTGCAATGGCGTAACCTCGGCTCACTGCAACCTCTGCCTCCCAAGTTCAAGGGATTCTCCTGCCTCAGCTTCCTGAGTAGCAGGGATTACAGGCACCCGCCACCATGCCTGGCTAAATTTTTGTATTTTTAGTAGAGATGGCGTTTCACCATGTTGGTCAAGCTGGTCTTGATCTCCTGACCTCAGATGATCCACCCGCCTTGGCCTCCCAAAGTTCTGAAATTACAGGCATAAGCCACTGTCCCCAGGCACTGAAACTATTCCTATATATTTTTTTTTAATGGTGAAAGAAGCAAATTTTTCTAATACAGTTTCCTATGGAGTCTGCAGATTTGAAGCTAATTCTAGCTAAGTACAGGAGAACTGAATGGGAGTCTATCAGTACTCTACTATTGTTTCACTAGTCCTTCCAAATTAGTAAAACATTTTACCTGCTGCCAATAGTCTCCTTTGGCTAATGTTTTAAAAATGTCTCTTTGGTTATCTAGATTATTAATTAAAACAAGTTTGATATTTTAATAATCAATAATTCTGAAATGCTTCATACATTAGAAACTAATTGTGTTGAGGTGTCCCTATAGATCCAAGATTTTATTCCTGTGTTTACTGTCTTTACAGAGACAAAATAGAAAATAGTAAATTTCATAAATGTGTTAGCTCCCTTTCTGTAAGACCTATTAGAGAAAATAAAGAAAATCCAATATGCTTTTCTGTCTGTGAAGTACAATTTTAAATTATAGTAGTGGCTGGGTGCAGTGGCTCATGCCTGTAATCCCAGCACTTTGGGAGGCCAAGGCAGGCAGATCATGAGGTCAAGAGATCGAGACCATCCTGGCCAACATGGTGAAACCCTGTCACTAGTAAAAATACAAAAATTAGCTGGGTGTGGTGGCATGCACCTGTAGTCCCATCTACTCAGGAGGCTGAGGCAGGAGAATCACTTGAACCCGAGAGGCAGAGGTTGTAGTGAGCTGAGATGGAGCCACTGCAATCCATCCTGCATGGCCAGACTCTTGCGACATAGCAAGACTCCATCTCAAAAAAAAATTATAGTAGAAATAAAACAGACAAAGGATTCAGATGAATTTGAGTTTTGTTGGCTAAACTGAAATATCACTCTTTGCATGTCTTGAGTTGTGCTGGTTAGGAAATCATAGTACAAAGGTTGTTTGTAGGCCAATGGTTGTGACTATTAATTTTTGCATACTTTCCCCAAAGCTTTCTTAAAACAGCTATATTTTTGGTTTTGAAGAATAATATATTAGTGCCTATTCTAACCTGATTTCTTCTACCTGAGACCTAAAAGGCATATTGCCCAATAGTCATGACTTTGACTTCATGCTCAAAGTACAATGATATTGTTACTATAATTCATAAATCTCTCAGAGAGTTCATAGTAATAAAAATAGGAAGAATTACATATCTAAATGATGGATTTTTAAACACTAGGGCCTGGGTGGCTACTCTTATCCACTACATGGCCACTCAAATCGTTTCATACTGACAGCCTTCTCTCAAATGAGGTATAAAGAAAGACTAGGAAACATATTTTTGTCACTATTGCTTGCTTTGAAAGAGGGCCAGGTGATAGAAGAGGCTGTATTACCTTCTTTCAAGTGTAAAAAATTTATTCTTGTTTGTCTTCTTAGATTTGAAGAAGAACTGACCAGCAAGTGGTTACATCTCTTTGAAGGCAGTGGAGTCCCATATGGCCCAATCAACAACATGAAGAATGTATTTGCAGAACCTCAGGTTTGTTTTTTGAAGTTTAACAACACGAGCATTTGCCTCTCTTTTCTGTCCAGATTGGTTTATATCAAGGTACCTTTGCCACTGATCTTAAGCTTAAGTCACATGATATGATTTTTCACTCTTATATTAAAATTGTTTGTGGGTTTGAGATAAAAAGAACCAGAACTTAGAAGTAAGTGGCTGTCCATGGCCGGGTGCGGTGGTTCACTCCTGTAATCCCAGCACTTTGGGAGGCCAAAGAGGGTGGATCACCTGAAGTCAGGAGTTTGAGACCAGCATGACCAACATGGAGAAACTCCGTCTCTGCTAAAAATACGAAATTAGCTGGGCATGGGTGGTGCATGCCTGTAATCCCAGCTACCCGGGGGGCTGAGGCAGGACAATTGCTTGAGCCCAGGAGGTGGAGGTTGTGGTGAGCCAAGATTGCGCCGTTGCACTCCAGCCTGGGCAACAAGAGCAAAACTCTGTCTAAAAAAAAAGAAGTGGGATCCATAAGCGTACTTATGTTACATTTAACATACTGTATTTCTTCATCAATCACTACATGAAGTTTCTGAGGCCAGGGTATTTAATTTTCCTGAAAAACAGAAATATACACAATTGAGATATTGGGGTTGGGTACTCAGAGACTGTTTTTTGTAAGAAGAAATATGAGAACTTTCATAGTTGCAGTCCACCTCTGATCATCTGATTATCCTAAAATGTACAGAGCAGGTCATATTTAATTCTGCAAATGAGAGGACTTCTTTTGGTTTGATTAATATATGTTATTTGTGAGACATAAATTTTACACTGATAGTGATTTGTGCTCTACATTACTTATCAGGCTCCTTTTTGGTGCCCAGGAACAGGGTCACCTGAAAATATATATATATATTTATTTATTTATTTTTTCCCATTTATTTATTTTATTGCATTTTAGGTTTTGGGGTACATGTGAAGAACATGCAAAATTGTTGCTTAGGAATACACATGGCAGTGTGATTTGCTGCCTTCCTCCCCATCACCTACATCTGGCATTTCTCCCCTTGCTATCTCTCCCCAGCTTCCCACCCCCCACCCTCCCTCCCCTATTTCCCCCCAACTGACCCGTGTGTAGTGCTCCCCTCCCTGTGTCCATGTGTTCTCATTGTTCAACACCCGCCTATGAGTGAGAACATGTGGTGTTTGATCTTCTGCTCTTCTGTCTGTTTTTTGAGAATGATGGTTTCCAGGTTCATCCATGTCCCTACAAAGGACCCTAACTCATCGTTTTTGATGGCTGCATAATATTCCATGGTGTATATGTGCCACATTTTCCCTATCCAGTCTATCATCGATGGGCATTTGGGTTGGTTCCAGGTCTTTGCTATTGTAAACAGTGCTGCAATGAACATTCGTGTGCACGTGTCCTTATAGTAGAACGATTTGTAATCCTTTGGATATATACCCAGTAATGGGATTGCTGGGTCAAATGGAATTTCTATTTCTATGTCCTTGAGGAATCTCCACACTGTCTTCCACAATGGTTGAACTAATTTACACTCCCACCAACAGTGTAAAAGTGTTCCTATTTCTCCACATCCTCTCCAGCATCTGTTGTCTCCAGATTTTTTAATGATCGCCATTCTAACTGGCATGAGATGGTATCTCAATGTAGTTTTGATTTGCATTTCTCTGATGACCAGTGATGATGAGCATTTTTTCATATGTTTGTTGGCCTCACGTATGTCTTCTTTTGTAAAGTGTCTGTTCATATCCTTTGCCCACTTTTGAATGGGCTTGTTAGTTTTTTTCTTGTAAATCTGTTTTAGTTCTTTATTTTATAACATTGTTCAAGTGATTATTTTTAGATATCAAAATAATGTTTTGAATTTATTACTTCAGTCAATATAACTAGAAGCAATTTTCCATTTCTCAAATTCATGGATTAATCCCCAAAGGTAGAGGTACTCCATTTTAAAGCTTTCACTGTGATTATTCAATCATCTTGTCAGTTTCCAACATTCAAAACTATGGGGTATTTTTCTTTGGGTTCTTTATTTAGTGGCAGGTTTTTCTTAGAAATAAACTATTGAACATAGAATACACCTCCTGAGGGAGGAGATCTTTGTTGGAAAACCAATCTATCTCTTTGATTTTGGTACCTTTAATCTTACACGAATATCTGCTTAAAAGAAAATTGAAATATTTTGCATTTAACGGTTATGACATTTACTGGCAAAAATGTATGAAAAGTGAATGAATACAGGAATTTTGCATGTGCTATTTTTCTGCCAAGATTGTGAGTATGACAAAGCTTTGTTCGTATTAAAACACTGGTCAATAATGGTCAATAAGTGTTTGACATAGGGGGGCCCATTTGTTGTGTACTATGTGAATTCATCTGAAAGGGACCCCACACCATCCATGGATTAATGCCTGGTGATTCCTTACAAGGAGGTAGCATTGTGCACACTCTGAATGTAGGAGAACAGGGGACCGTTGTTCTCTCTTTATAACTTTGAGTGAGGCCAAGCCACCATTTGAAGCTGTTGTGTATTGAGATGTGTGTAGAACTTCATGTATATCTCAATTTGAGGGTACATTTTTCTGGAGATACTTCCTAAGAGTTTTCCATCAGCATTTCTATTGCTCTGTGTTTTATCAGAGATGAAGGCACCAAAGCAAAGAATTATTTTTAAATAATTATATTATTTATAATTTATATAATAATATATTAAATATATATAATTATTTAAAAATATATTAAGTATATTCAAACACTACCTAGTTTTTAGGCTTTGATAAAGATTTACAATTGCACCCACTATCTTAAAATTATTCACTTTATTGGCTAGTTCAAAGTGAATATAGAATAATTAGGATTTTCATACCTAATTTTCTCTTGCGGTTTGGTGTAATTTCTTTAATCTTTGCATCTCAATTCTTTTGGAACTACAAAAATTTCTGTTCTTACTCTATGGCATATTTTTAGTCATTAGCCTACCTTCCAAAATGGAGAACAATTTATGTTACCTAAGTCAGCATACCAGCTTTTGATACTGTTGCAAATGTCTCTACAAATTGCCCTTTGTGAAATTTGTGTAAAGCAGATTATTTTTAAAAAACTTGAAGATGACATCTAACTATGATGACTAAGTTCATTCATTTATTCAACAAACTTTTGATATATCCAGTGCTTGTGACTTAGCATAAATTCAGTACACAATGTGTACCTGTTATTAAGTCCATTTTGAATTTATTTATTAGAAAGGTAGGGATTAATGAGTTGGTTAGCTCTGGAATGTGCAAGTTTTCCAAATAAACAAGTGGCTCCTGTGTAGTCCCCCCAACTTTTAAAATTCTCCCCACCATAGCTATCATCCTGTGTGCTTCTAAGAGAGGCTGACAAGCTCTATCTTCAGGGCTGGTTGGAAAACCCTTGGTAATCTGAGGGAACTAAGTGTAACATAATGGTTAAGACCATGGAGTCAAAATTGGCGGGCAGTTTATTATGAACTTTCTAGACTTTGGTTTCCTTAAGTGTAAAATGGTGGACTAACATCTGAGTTATTGTTTATAAAGAAACAGCACAGGGATTGTGAGATGGTAAACAGCCAATGCCTAGTAGTAGCTGTGGTTATGTTGGTGCCCTTATATTCCTGTTTAATTTCTTTTACTTATCTTTGTATAGTGGATAGAAGAAAATCTAGTGTAACTTTGGGGATGGGGATCATTAACTTAAACTTGCACTCTGCTATCCTTTTATAAAAATATGTCTGCAAACTCTATGCCAAGATAAGGACTTCCCTTCCTTATTTCTGATTATTGAAAACCCTTTTATTTTTCATTTTTTGTAAAAGTTTTTTCTAAGTATGATTTCCATTTAAGGTATCCTCCCTTGTTTTGCCTCTGGTGAGCTGTAGAGTTTCTTGGCCCTGGGTGCATGGAAACGGCTACTTCTGTTCAGATGTGGGAACGCACCACTGGCGCGCGTGGCCCACTCTCCGTGTGCGCTGTGCCAGCACAGCTGCTCTGAAAATTGCTCTGGGTGAAGTACAAGGCCTGGAACATGGGGCAGGAATGGAGACTTCGATAAAATGAAAAGGGGTATGTGTAACAACAACAACAAAAGCCAGGATTGGGAGCTTCAAGTAACAGCAGAAAAATTTGAGTGCCTACTTCTCAAGTAGACCATTTACTTTTCATCTGTGGTTTGAACTTGGAGACAACAAAAATTTACTTGATAGTAGAAACTATTTTTAGCCTAACAATTTCATCATAGTCTCATGGATTGAGGTAACTTGATTTTTTGGTTCCACCAAAACAACAGATGATATTATTTTTCATGGATAAATGAAAGATTGTCTACCTCTTATCTGCTGATTATATGTGACAGACCTTTGCACAGTTAAACTGATCCTACAGGCATCCACTGTTAAGTCAGTCAAGAATACTGCAGGCTGGGTGGAGGGGGATTGGTCTGCATTTACTGAAAGTTCTGAGGAGTTTTTATGCAAAACCTTTAGCGTGGGAGTTTTATTGTCTTTCTCTCTCAATGACAAATTATCTGTGGAAAGCTCTGTGCATTATAGATGTATAATATAGATTATCTGCATATAGATTTTAATAGCCAGTCATTTTTCCAAGTACTTTCTTAAAATATCTTTTTTTAATCAAGCCAAGATTGTGCAGTACATTAAAGGAATTCTTAAAAAGTTTAAAAAACTTACTAGATGACCTCAGTATGGTCCTATTTAACATACCCTTGGGAACATGTGCATGAAATACATTATGGTTTGAGGGTTTCCAACCCAAACAAACTTAAAAGAAAACGCAGCTTTTAAAAGAAACTATTCAAATTCCTGCAAACATAGGTATATATCTTACCACTGAGACGGATTAAAAACATCATTGTCTACACTGAGAATTAAAAGGCAATGTGACATTCTGCTTTTCGACTTCACTTAAAACTGTATATTTGGTGATTCTAGCATATCACCACTTTGATTAAACTGCTTAATTAAAAACTATGAGTG